GGATCCCTAAGTATAGTGGATTAAGATGTGTGGTTTAGAAAGAGAGTTTAGCCTCCAATTATTATACTTTCTATTATATCTTTAAAACAAGCTTTTGGTAATAAATAGATATTTTTAAGTTAATTATTATTTATGCAGAAGGATGACAGCGTAAATAGCTGAAAAAAACAATTCAAAAGACAATTCACAAGAGTTTAAATATATGAATAAAAATGCATCCTTTTTTTAATCACTTAAGAGTTTTAAGATACATCCTTGGGTTTGAATAGTAGTTTAGATGTGATTTTTTGAGAAGTCCAAATTTATAAGTTTACATATGGTATTAAAGGGGTCTTTGGTTTGACTTTATTAATTGGTTAAAGAAATCACACTATATGTTAATTTACTTCAGCTAAACTCAATTTATAAAGGGTGGGGTGTTAAAAGAATAAATCCCTTTAGAGAGCTATAGCTCTTAATTTCCATTTATGAGGGCGTGAATTTGCAAAGAAGTGTAGTAGATTATAAACAATTAAAAAGAACAATTTAAGAGATGGATTCATAAAAATTCAAATATAGAAAGAAAAGGCTTATAAATAAAAGATCAGCTTCTTTTCTAATTAGTTAAGGGTTTTAGGATACTTGAGATTATATATCTTTGGGTTTGATTAGTATTAAGTTGAATGAACTCATGAGAAATCTAAATTCAGAAGTTTATACAAAGCACATGGGAGGGAAAAGTAATAATACAAGATGTACTTAAGGAATTTATTGATATCTTTCTTTCCAAATTTATAGATTGCCTTTATTATGAGATATGGGATATAAGATTATGCTAAAGCTAACAACAAAGCCAATTTACTAATATTTTTTTTTACTAAACTATATGGAGGAGTAAAAAGTCTAATGACAAGTTAAGGAGTTACTTAAATTTGAGTTTATTAAGCCAAATAAGTTTCGATTTGACACACTGGCCTTGCTCATGAAAACAAAATTAGCTTAATGTGGATATATATTGACTAATATGATTTTTAAAAAATGGTTAAAGATAAAATATAAATGCCATATATTGATGATATCTTAGATAATGTTAATGAAGCTCAAGTGTTTACTAAAACTGATTCAAAGAGTGAATACTATCAAATTGCAATAGATGATATATATATCTCCAATACAGTGAGCTTTAGGCATTCTGAGCTCATAGTTATACTATTTAGATTGATAAATACTATAATTCCATCTACTTGGTTGATGAGACATTATTTTATAAGTTTTTAGAGGTTTTCTTTGATGATATTCTTGTTATAAGTAAGAAGCTAGAGGAGCATTAATGCAAGATTCTTTTGTTATTACATGATAGTAAACTTTATGCAAAGAAGAGCAAATGTAAATTTGCAAAGTTGAATGTAAAGTATTTATGCTATATTGTAATATCCACAGATGTTAAGATAAATCTAAGGAGTGTGGCTATGGTGGAGAATTAACCTACACAAGCTTCAATAGCCAAGTTATGTAATTTCCTTCATATAGCTAGTTACTTTTAGTATTTCTTATGTAAATTTGCAAAGGTGGCTATTCCTTGACACAATTGTTACATAAGAATATGTCATTTGAGTAGAAGAAGGGGTATCAAGTTAAGGTTTTAACCTTATTCTTGATATGGATTGGTTGCAGTGCAATTATATCAAATATGACTTTAAACCTTATCTTATAATCCCTTATATCTTTTCCATTTATTTCATTTTTGTTTCACTTTGTCTTTTTTTTTTTACAAAAGTATAGTTTTATAGTGTTAAAATGATTATTGAGTGAATATAACACATATAGTTTATATGCTTGGTTTAGGTTTTTTCTCATTGTGTTTTATGTTTGTGTTCCTTGTTATATTTTCTTTCTTATTTTATTCATTCTCTTTAGTATTATGATTAGATTGGAATATATAGAACATGCTCAAGATAGTATTCTTTCTTTTTCTAATCTTATTGAGAGAATTTATAGTAAGGTTTTTGTATTACAGTTGATCTTCTTCTAGAAGAGAGAGAATGTGAAAGATGCTATGACTAATGAGATATTGATTTAACAACCAAGGTTGTAAAGATGGTTTGAAGTGGAATTGTAAAAATTGCAATACCACAAAATCTCTTAGAACTAATACTTAGTATATAAATATCAATCTCACATTTGCTCAAAAGCTTAGAGTGTTATATTATTGGTGCATTAAAATGCTACAAGATCAAGCTTGTATTGAATGTAGTATTAAAAGTGAGTATATGACAACAAATTAGTACAAATTTTGCCATGATATTTGTGTTATCACATTACAACAAGGTAGTCAAAAGATTAATGGTCCAGAAAAAATTGTGGAAATTGATGAAAGTAAGTTTGGTAAGCGGAAATATAATCATGGTAGAAGTGTAGAAGGCCAATGGGTCTTTAGGGGAATCAAACATGATTTAGATAAATGTTTATAGTTTAGTGGCTGATTGTATTGCAAAAACTCTAATTGATATATTATATACATATTTTTAACTAGATAAGTTCTATTTCTATTATTATTATTATTTAATAATTATAATTAATATTTTGGGAACAATTATATATAGTGATTGTTGGGGTAGTTATGATTCAAAGTGATTGAATCAATTGAACTTAATTATATAGTTAATCACTCCCAAAATTTTGTTGATTCTGTGACTAAAGTTCATAAAAATTCTATTGAATCAACATAGAATACATTGAAAAGATCCCTTCCTTTCTATGGTACAGCAAAAGGATTATACAGCTTTTACTTTCAAGAATATAATTAGCAAAAAAAATTGCATTTAATATTCTATGTAGTCATATTAAGCTACACAATCAGAATATTTTTATAGTAGAATAAAAAGTATACTTTATTTTGTACCTTTAAATACTAAAAAATAATTGAAAAATAATATACTAGAATTTATTGTAATGAGATGGCATGCTTATATGAGGAATGAGGTAGCATGCAAGTCCATATACACCCTAAATAAAGGGGGGTGTTATATTGTGCATTCTACCCAATTCAAGAATACAAGTGGTTCTTTGATCCCTAGAGCAAGTGGGAGCTTGTAATGATTTGCAAGATTTGTGCTTAAGTTTTCACAACATGGCAGTCAAGCAGGAGATCTGTGGAGCTTGAGCACATGTGGGATGTGCACAAATCACTATACAGGCTTATTTGTCCTGTTTGTGGAGCAATGATCTAGCAAGAAGCTCATTTTGCTAGAGGTGATCCACAGAACTTTGCCATTGGTGGACACTGGGACAGTTACAGCACTCATAAAAACTCCCATCAATCAACAGGATTTATAAACATATGGATTCTCAATGCTGGCTCAAAGGATCAAATCTTGCTTACAGTTTTGTTTCATCCCATGAGTTTTCTAGGTAACAAGTTTCAAGTTTAAAATAAATATTTTATGACCATGTTTTTATTTCAGGTTTGCAAGCAAAGTATGTTCAAGCATACACCACTGAACTTTTCAAGGGATTCTGGACTCCATTCATAGAGGAGCTAGCAACATTATTCATTGATGGCATACAGATGGAGTACAACTTCCTGGTGGATCAAATCTCTCCATATATCCATGAAACTTTGGCATGCTTGCATGTGATGCTGTTCTTTCAAAGCAGAGACCACGTGGCTCAATGCAAGATCGGTCAGTTTAAACAATCTAGACCAAACTTCAGGCGCAGGTTGAAACGTGATTATGAGACAATTGAGCTGGATGTTGGGGGACATAAAAAGAAGTGTGTCTACTGCAACAACAGGTTTCAAACATGCTATCCACTGCCCAAGGGGACACTCAAAGAGATGAAGGCAGCATTAGAAAGCATAGCAGCAGCAACTATAGAGAAGAACATGATACAGATTCTCCACAGTGCTAGCTTGAGTGGGCAAAGCATGCTTTGGAGGTTTCATGACTTATAC